CGTTGTCATGGGATCAAAATTCAGACACTTGGCAACTGTCTCATATTTATGACCTTTGAGGTCATGCGATCACCTTTAGAGACCTTCTGACAAACAAAGTCAATGGGGAAGCCAGATTCATTTAACAAGCATACTACTAATTTAACAACTGCAGTGATTCAGCAGTGGCAAGGAAGGTCGTAGAATGGGGCAAAACTCACTTAACAAATATCTTACTTAACAACATAAATTTTGGGCTCAATTGTGGTCGTAAGTTGAAGACTACCTGTACTTTAATACTAGAATGATGAACTTTCTGGAAAACTCTCTAAGGGAAAATACATGTCTGGAAGTAGCCTAAAAATGGAAGTAGAAATATTAATACTTGATATTGCAATAACTCCTTCAAAATCAGTATAAACATACAATTGTTTTCAAACACATTTGCATCTGAACTCCATTTAATAATAGATTGCAGGCATCTTCAAACACAGCATGCCATCATATATGATGACTTGCTTCCAATCCTAAACTTCTCAAAATCTCAGGAGAAATCTCACAAGATTTTGACCAAGATGTTTTTTTTTTTAGAAAAAAATATTTTGACTGTATTTTAATTTATGGCCATTTGTGGGGATCAATAGACAACATAGCATTTAAGGGTCCAGTGTGATTTCTACTTTCTACCCAACATGTGAGCTAGCCTTGCCCAGCCTGGTATCCATATTTGCTAGTATTCTAACATCCAGTGTTCTCAGCGAGTGTGGACAAAAACCAGGAATAGTAGAACTTGGTCCCAGTGCCATTGTATGCCACCAGCTTGGAAAGGCTGATCTAAGTTTTAATATTATACCCCTGGGTAGTCGAGAGAGCTATTGTATGTGTGGACAGCAAATAGAAAGTTCCTTGTGTAAAATAACTTCACACTCATCCAGAGAATATCTAGTCTGTTTTATTATTTGTACATCATGTTACCAAGAGATTTGTATTGGATTTGGAAGCCATATGGAAGAGAGGTAACTAGCATGTGTTTATATATACAAGGCTAGCTTAATTTGCCTTGAGGCTTGTTATGGCTCAATGGAACCTATCACTCCCAAAACTTTAACAAAGCAGATGAACAATTACCTTATGTTAAGGTATTTTAATTTTAAGGTACTTTCTTTTGTAAAATGTCTTGGAGTGATAGATTTTATTTACCCAATCAAATATAGCTCCTAATCAAGTATTAATAAAGCCAAGCCTGACTCCTTTCTGAAAGGTTATCTGTTGGACACTTCTTTAAAACTAAAAAGTATACAGAATAGTTTGCAATATTATTTTATCAATAAGTGATATGTTTTATTCAAATGTAAAGAAATTCAAGCTTCAGAGGACTTTTTGAACAATAAATAGTTATATTTTTGTTTCTAAATAGTACAGCAAACCCTTGAGTGATCTATCTGTATTCACCCAATGTTCCCATTCTATTAATCATTTTACTAAAATAAAATAGAATAGCTCCAAATTAGGAAAAGATTTAGTGTTGGCAGTTACATCAGGCCAGTTCTTGGCTGGGGAATTCTGGGAGCTGAAATCTACACATCTTAAAGTTGCCAAGGTTGAGAAATGCTGACCTAGAGGAACATATTTTGTTTTATTAAGGAATAGCCAAACAACTCACCCATTCCTACAGGTTTATGATAGTAAAGCAGTAAGGTACAGTTGCAAAGGAGATTGTGGCAATAAAAAAAGATAGTTTTGATTTGCAAGTATTTCAGTGAATCAAGCAGCAGGAAAAGCTTGTTGCAAACTTTTAATATCAGTTGTTAAAAGCTAAAAATTTTCTCTTTTCTGAAGAGAAATACTAAAACATTCTGCTTTTCTTCTATTTTCTTTCCCCAAACATGGTTTCTTTGCTTTGTTTTAATCCAACACATCCTCTTTCCTTCTTGTATGGTAGGGATTGATCCGTACTTGCTTCTGCTGTAGTGCAGAGGCTTTGGGGCACCTGATTATAATTTCAGAAAAGCTCTCATGTGCTCCTTAGTTGTATGTTAATGATGTGCATGGGTTAGGAACTGCTAAACGTCTCTTCTTTATGGGGACAGATCCATCCTGAGTCAAATTCTAAAAGTGGTTCCAGATGTTGAACAGCTGCAAGTAATCTGCCCTTTTCTCATAGACATTTGAAGTTCTTTAATCAGTGTTTGTTGTTGTTGTCAGCAATGGTGCTGAGGTGTGGAAAGATGGAGCAGATGGACTTGGGGGGGCATATTTAACTTTAGGCTGACCTCTCTTATCTTGCATTTGCTCTCTTCCCAGGTCAAAGGAGGCTGGAATTAGTCTGGAAAGTGGCCATAAATATGCACCTGTGTAAATGCATGTTGAAAAGGAAGAGATTTAAGGGCAGCTGTTATCTTGGAAGGTTTCCCAAAGAGTTCCTCTCCTCTAACTGCCACCCAAAGAATGGTGCACTTTGAATAGAAAATGAACAATTGTAAAATCTGGTATTAAGGTTATTATCTAGCAGGAGATATTCAGTTACGATAACCATATGTGAGTGCATTGGCCAGTGTGTTATTTTTCTGGTGTCAAAACATCTCTTTGCTTGGGCTTCTATGGTTTGAAAAACTAGTTTGAAGTGAAGAGAAGGCTTCTTTTACTTAAACAAGATTTCCCATGCAATTTATATTCCATATACTAAATGGAAGCATCCATGAAATTTGCAGTTTTTGGACTCCCATAAAGGCTATTCTTAAACTTGTGTTGGCTACAGGCCAACATAAGACAGAATTTTTTAGAATATTTCTCTTTGTCTCATAACATATAGAAAGGATTAAGGTTATCATGTTTAAAATTTTAACATTAAAATATGAACATCTGTTCAATTTTGCCAATTGACAGTTTTCATTGTACAATCTCATTGTACACATGTTGTTCTCTGACAATAAAGGTAACAATAATAATAATTCTCAATTGTTTGGCTGTGTCACTCCTTTCTCCTTTCTTGTTATGCTTGTCCATTCAAGTGTGAGGCCACCATTGGAGTACGTCAACAGGTTGTTATCTGCAACTTTTAGCTTTATTTATTTAATAAAAAAACAGAAGAAAAATTTAGAAAAAAGGGAATATATACAAACAACATTGCTTAGTAACAGCAATCCAGGCAGTCTTAACCTGGGGGCTACTTTTACCTATCTTCTACAAGGGTACAAGGAGGAGAAATCCACAATAAATCAAAATGCTCAGAATTTGAAACCAGAAAGGCATCTATTAGTGATATAATTCAAGATTTGAAATACCAAGAGCCACATCTTTAATTGGCAATTTCATTTATTTCAAAGTTGTATTCAGAATCGAAGAACTATGCAGAAATTTTAAAAAACAGTAAAACATTTTGAACAGGTCCTACATTCATTATTCCCTCATACTACCCCAAGAATCCTTTTGAAATAAAATGCAAAATATTGCACAGTTCTCTTGGAACATAGGACATTATTTGTTCATAAGAGTAGGTGACTTGAGCCAAGCCAAAGACTTAGGGTCAGATTCCCCACATGCACTTTTATCCAATCAAGGAATTAAGTTGTAGAAAAAAAGTTTGCTGCTGCTATAAAACATTTAGAATTTTGCTGTGCTATAGCATGCTTGGCTCAGTAATGCTTCTAATTTAAGGAAGTACCGTTTATTTTCTTAGTCTGGCTACAGAGAGCTGTGTCACTTTTATGAAGCTGCAAAAATATCTAATCTTTTCAAATGTGAAGTGCCGAGGGGTTTACAAGAGATTCTATTTAAAGAAAAAGAAAGTACCCTGGCCAATATTTGTTGGCAATCTGTAAAATCTTGAGATTAGAAGTAGCAAATGAACATGCAGAATAAGAATCATATGAAGTGTGAATTTTGCACGTACTCTGTCCATTGTTGCAGGAGACTTTCTCCAAAGAAATTGGTTGACATGCAGTATACTCAGTTTTTAATTCTGTCCATCACAATGTTTCAAAAATAACTAAAGGGAAAAAAGTGTTTAGCCTAACTTGTCAAAAGTGCGTATTTCAGGTAGACAAATTTCAATATCTAAAAAAATCATGCCAATAAGCTTAGAACAGTTAAGCACCATTTTAGCCACCTTACACTCGAAAAGTATGTACAGTTTTAGATAAGTTAAATTTTCCCAGTGAATAGTGGACAGAGAAAAGATAGAGGAGGATATTTGTGGCTCAGAGTTGAAATAAGGATTCTTGATGTTCTCTGAACTTGGTTGCTTTTTTTTTTTTACAGATATTTCATTGTTTTCATAGTAGGTAACATTATCAGTGCCAAGGATCCCTCATAAAGAAGAGAACAAAAATGTTGACATTGTTTTAAGTTGGTGAGGGAATTTGCTTTTGAAATAAGCTTTCTCTGCTTGTGTTGATATTAAAAGCTGTAGTACTTACCCCAGAGTCCTAGAGTCATTACTGAGTGTTAAGAATGAAGAAACATATGACCATAAAGTATATTAGTTAATGAGATATTTATATAATAGTTAATAATACAATTGGTCACTTTTTCTTTGTTCTCTTTCATTCTTTTTTCTCTTCTGGTTTGTACTATGTTTTATTCTATTCAAAAAATTCAGTAAATTTTACTATTCAGTAAAATTATACCACATCCTATTTATTTCATTTAAAATATTTATATAGCTGCCTACTCATTCACAGTGACTCTAGGCGGCTTACAAACAATAAACACACACACACACACACACACACACACACACACACACACAACCCCCACCCATCCATCCTGGTGACAGCACACAATTAAATAATCCATTTGATGGGCTCCATCACACTCTGGGTTCCCCAGGCCCACTGGCAAAACCACGTCTTCAAGGTCTTCTGAAAGACTGTCAAAGTAAGGGCCAATATAATATAGTTGATGATTATAATATATAACATTCAAATTCAAATGCATTCAAATTTGCTGTGCTTTTTAAAAAACCTATAGATTATTTTAAAAATTTACATTCCCCCCCCCACCTATTCTGCTGTCTTTAGTTTTTAATAAGTGACCACGACCAAGACCCTCAATGTAACCTTCAGTGCTCCAGAACTGCTGTCAAGCCCCTCTGCGCTTCCGATGGCAGGACCTATGAATCAATGTGTGATTACCAGAGAGCAAAGTGCAAGGATTCCAATCTGAATGTGGCACATCGAGGCAGATGTAAAGGTAAGGAATTAAAAAGAGGTACTTCTCTTCATCTGGAATAGACGCATTGAGTGTACTTTTTTATAGCTCAATTTGATGCTGTTTAAGCAAGATACATAAATTGGAAATATGTGTTTGCCTAAAAAGAATGATTCAGACATCTTTACCAGATAAAAGGGCCTGGAGAGGAGGCTGGGTATGTTGATAGAGAGTAAAGGATTAAAACAATGATCGAGTTTTTTGACAGCTGCCAGCTAATGAGCCACAGAAACAACTGTCATTTTCAAATCAAATTAATGATGTAAGCTCAGAGCATCATGATGATCATAATAAACATTGCGAATTGAGATACCATTCTTGATCTTTCACAGTCTTCTAATTGGTAGAATTTGTCATGTGTTATTTTCTGGAAAGGTTAAGTTTGAGAGGTGAAGGACACCCGAATAGCTTAGAACTCAATCTTTTCTTCACCATTGACCCGCCACCCTTTAAATACCTTTTATGGCCACACACCTTGGCCACAGACCCCAAGACTTAACTCAATATTTAAATGTGGATGGTTGTGAATGGAAGAATGTATATTCCTTGCAGACAAATGGGCATGGGCATTCTTTCAGAATTGTCTCTTGAAAAAGCACCTTTGGGACCTAGGTCTGCTGTTATAATCCCTGATTATTTGACATGCTGATGAGTTAATAATTAAAAACATCTTGAAGGCTCTGTATATAAACAAATGTTCAGCAAAGCAGGATTGTTTAAGTTTTTCTTTGGCATTTATTTTCATGGACATACGTTTTTGACATATTGCTTATCTTTATTTAAATTCTGAATGGATTTTCTTCATAGATGCTGGTCAGAGCAAATGCAGATTAGAAAGAGCCCAAGCACTGGATCAAGTGAAGAAGCCACAAGAAGCAATCTTTGTTCCAGAGTGTCATGAAGATGGATCTTTTACCCAAGTAAGATTTTCATTAAGATTTTCAGACTTTCATACTTTTTCTTACACACTTAACCAATAAAACATAATAAATTGTGGAAAATGTCTTCATCCATAAACAATTGTGATTGAAGCAGTGTCTGACATCTAGATTTCGCATTGTTACCTGTACATTCACACATATTTTATGGCCATACAAGTAATTGAGACAGATGGTTGGTAGTGGGCCCCACCAAATTGAGGCTCTAATGACTCAGGAAGCATTTGTGAATTTTGAAAAGGAAAGTTCACAATGCCTCCCTCCCTCCCTGCCTCCCTGTGTGTGCTGAGTAAGTGGGAGCTAGACACAAACTCTCATAATTACCGCAGGTTCGTATAACATAGCACACTGGGGGAGAGCTAGGCCTTCAGGGTGTCCCCAAGGTGCTTTTTCAAAAGCCAACTTTTTCCTTGAAGACGTTCCGCTTCTCATCCAAGAAGCTTCTTCAATTCTGACTGAATGGTGGAGGATGAAAGGATTTATATTCCGTGCAGTCATCTGACTGTTGGCACTCTTTCTGAGAGTCATTTAGGCACTTGGAGGTTTATCTGTGCCCTCAGGTTCACCTGAATAATGCAAATGGATGTAGAACCTTCTTGGAACAGCTGAAAGGATTGTGTTGTAAACAGGAGCTAGGTGGTGTCTGATGAGAGAGGACTGCTAATCTTAATGTAGATGGATTCTTTGACCCCTCTTTCAAACCTCTCTGTCCAGAATGTGGACTTTGCTATCTTTAAAAGAATGACCTTTATCTTTCAAAAGCAGATGGACAGCTGAATCCTGTCCTGATGGGCATGTTCTGCCATGTGTTTGTGAAGTGGTTGTTTTGTTTCTCCAATGTACAATCTGTACATGTCTCACTGCTTATATCACATTGCTCAATTTGTTATCCTTGGGTGGACAAGCTTCTACCTTAGTGTTTTAGGCAGAAGCTTGCTATTAACACCCCAATCAATAACTAAAAAGCCACACACAACAGGCATCATATAAACACCACACACAGAATAGCCCAAAGCACACACTCTGCTAGAGAGAAGTTCCTTGAGAGTAGGCTCCAGCCTGAGTCCAAAAGCTCTAAAAACTGAACCTTTGGTCTGAGTGATTGACCCAGATTGGATCCTATATCTATTCACTCTTGCTTTCAGTTGCAGAAATATAGCTAAAAAGAGATTTTCAGGACATTGCGATTTATTATTTCTGCAACTAGGTTCAAGCAGCACATTAAGCAACCAAACATAATCAAACTTATTACATCATAAAAATGCGGCACACAAGTCTTTAATATGATGTTTATACATGTCATAGTTATGCAGTAATGCATCCACAAAGTATTAGTGGATAAAATTGGAAGGTAATACACAACAGTAATATAAAAAAGATACACACAGCACAAATTAGGGTTTCAGGTTTCCTGTAAAATGATTAAGAGCAGCACCTTTTCTTGAAATAATATTAATGTTTGAACTAATAAATATTGCATGCTGTGTAACATAACAAACTGTTACACTAATATGCTTGAAATACGTTTCCTTATTCCTGAAAATGGATTTTTCAAGAGATGAAAGTTATTGTATTAATACGGAGTCAGAGGGATATTGCAAACTAATCATCTATTTTCTCAAACAGGTCCAGTGCCACACCTATACTGGATATTGCTGGTGTGTAACTCCAGATGGCAAGCCTATCAGTGGTTCTTCTGTGCAGAACAAAACTCCTGTATGCTCAGGTACTGAAGGCAGAGAAAAAAAGGTTTGCATATTTTGAAAGGAATAAGCACTTTGCGTTTATAATCTTTAAAACTCAATTAATACAGCTCAACAGTCCAAACTGTACTCTGCACATGGCTGTCCGTCTTGTAGCTGAAACATTGCTAGTCAAGAGATACAAATTGGAGTTACAGGTAGTTCTTGATCTGTGATCCCTAATGAGCCCAGACTTTTGGTTGTAAGTTGTTACAGTTGTAAGTCGAGTCACCATATGACTGGACTTGATTTTTCAATCATTTTTACAACAGTTATTAAACTAGTTACTATGGTCATTAAATAAACAATGTGGTTGTAACTTAGAAACCAACTTGTCCTGGAAAATGGCAAAAAAAGTTGGAAAATGAGAACTTGTGATTATGGGACACTCCAGCCAGTGAGCTGGTTGCCAAGCAACCAAAATACGATCATGTGACTATGGGGGGTGGGGCGGCAGGTATAACTTTGAGGATGGATTCTAAGTGCGGTAAAGATTTGGTAAAGAATCTGTTGTATCTTCAAATGGTTGTTAAGTGACTAGTCATAAGTCAAGAACTACCTGTACTGCTAAACATATATTGATAATAAAAATAGTTTCTTGATTCTGTTTGAGTAGTGTGTCACTTTTTATGAATAAATGGTATATTGATTCTCATTGTTTAACAAAAATCCTTAAGAATGAAATAATTTAAATTTCTACCATGCCTGGGGAAAAAAATCTGGTAATTTCAAAGTCATTAGTTCTAAAAGAGTCTTTTTTGGGTTGGATAGCACAACTTTTAAATTAACCATTTATGCTACACTGCCTATTTCTGTTGCACATCTATGGGAAAAATATGCATTGGCTCTACAGTGTCAGTTTTAATATTAATTATGGTTCTGAACCAATTGGTCGTGGTAACCAATTTACCATGGTTCATTGGCCATGCTGTTCATCAGGTTGGTGACATTTTTTTGGCCTTGTAATTCATAGGTTTATTTCAAATTTAAACCAGCAAAAAGACAGGCCCAATACAGAACTGGCAGCCAAAGCAATCAGTGTAGGGATTAGATGATTGCTTGCATCCAGTTGTCTAGCTGCTACTATGGGCATAGTGCTTTGAAGCTTGCCTATAGATTGGACTGTAGTTTGGATGATACTAGTGAATGTTTTGCTCATATACTAACATACTTGCTTTTCGTTTAAGGCTCAGTAACCGACCGGCCATTAGGACAGGGTAATTCTGGAAGAAAAGGTGAGTAAAGTTCTACGCTACAATGAGATGAGGTTTTGAAGGCTTTGCCATTTATCATCTGTCCCATGTTCAAACTTTCTAGGAGAACATACAAGTGTAATGAAAGGGACGCTATTGTAATAAATTTCAACTTCTATGCTGTTTTCCTGAGCATTAATGCTACATCTTAAAGTGTTACTTAAAAAAAAGAATTTTGGCAGAAATTTCAAGATAATCATGCTAACCTTGAAGACATCTAGTATTCTTTCACAATGAATGAAAGACTTACATGCTCAATATAAGCCTTATATAAAGCACAGTCGCTGCTCCAAGTTATGACTTAACATTTCTTTCTAAGACAGTGGCATCTGCTTTGGAGATAGTTTTGATCTTTTTTTTTCAGTTCAGCAGAAGAATAATCAGGTCAATCCAAATGCTGCTCTAACATGCCATTGTTTCTTCATTTCCCAAAAATAATTCTTTACAAGCCAACAAAATACTTGATCTTTATATAGACCATACCTTCTCTATTTCACTGGAAGATCAATAACTTAAAATGATGTTTAGTCAAAACTAAAGTTTTGTTAGGTTAGTCAAGTTGTTCAGTCAAATCTTTCAAATGACTTCAGCTGGGCTTCCTAGAAGAAGGCATTATAGAAAATCATTGCTGCATGTAGTTTTATATTATATTTTCCATATTTCTACTATGGAATATTAGAACAATTCCCCTTCAATTCAGTTGTAAAGGCTAAATAAACATTTACATGCATTTCAGCATTTTTATAAGCCTGTCCCTTTAGGAGCTGACTCAGAAACCATACAAATTATCAGCTTTTGCTAAGATGAACAATGCTAAGGAGGATATATTTCATTTAATGTAGTTGTGAGATTTATAATTGATGCTTATCTTCCAGCATTATGAAATGTGCTTCGGAAAAGTAGTTTGGATTTTTGAAAAATTTCTACATATATTGTATATCCCTATGACCTATGCTTATTATAGAATTGCAGTTATCCAGAGTTCCTGGAAGTAATCAGATATACAAATTTCTTACATAAAATGTAAGTAAAACTTAGCTACTCAGTTGTAATTACTGAAAATGGCTTCTGGTGGCTGTCAGCTAACATTCTGCATAAATATATGTTGATTATTATATAATTATAATCCATAAAACTAAATGGTACTGTCATCTAGAAAGTTGGCTGGCTGGTGTTGGAAATAAAGTTTCTGATAAATTGAAACAGTGGTGTCATCTCTGCAAATTTTGTTTGTGAATGCCATTTTCAGCTTGATGGTCCTCATGTATTTGGAGTACAATTTTCAAAATTCCCAGCTACCCTGAATGCTATCCAATGTTTACATGAGAACTATTGTTTTAATACTTTCAGACATGAGGTTTTAATGGTTTTAGCCACTACAATCCAGACAAGTAGAATGTGGCTTTTTGTACTAATCCTCCCTTAGTTTACACCACTGATTGATGGGAAATGATGCCAGCAAGATCAGCATTCAGGTAAGAGCTCCCGAAAGATTTCACTGCTACATAGCAGTCGTGTGGTAGTAAAGGTAATCAGTATATCCTTGGCTACCATCTTGTATAAGGTGGCAACCAAATGATAGAGAATGAAAATGTGGTTTTCCCTGTGCCCTGTTTATTATCACTGCACTACAAAAGAGGGCTAGGGAACTTTACATGTAATACTCCATGCCATTCATTATTTCTGGAAGTTTTCTTTCATAAAAACATGTTGCAAACATCTATCTGTAGTATAAAGGAGGCTCTTATTTCATCGGCTGCCACATTTTGACCCTACATTATGTAAAGCAAATAATAATAATAATAAAATTAATCTTTTTATTAAAGAGATACATTTGTTTCTGTCTTCCTTGCAAACCTTGCTTCCCTTTGTAATGGTGTCAAACTGGGAGGGAAAGAGCAAAAAACACATGGATTCTCAACTGAATCTTCTGCCATTTTGCCTTGGGAAGGGTAGAGAGGAGGAAGGGGAGAAAAAAGAAATAGCTTGCTTCAGTAGAATAATTTGTTCAAGTCTGGGTTTCAGTGTCTCTTACCTTGGAAGTGAGAGTAACAATTCAGGTTTATAAGAATCTCTTGTTCATTCATCTGAAGTCTTGGATTAAACCACTTCTGACTTTAATCCTTCTCATATGTAATTGATGCAAAGCAGAACAGCTCAGCTCTTTTCTGCCATGTGCTGAATGGTGAATTGACTGAAACTTGACAGTATTTTTATGTCTTGTTTCCATCGGGGTTTTTTGGTCCTGCCCTTTCATTGAACTTTTCCATTTGTCTGCCTGAAAGTAAGTTGTCAGGGTTCCCTCCCCCACTGCATCTCAGCTGTTTCTTAGCCCACCTTTTCTCTTTGTCTCACTATTAAAGAGGGAGCAGCCTTCCAGCTTATTAATGCATATACACTGCTCAAAAAATAAAGGGAACACAAAAATAAGACATCCTAGATCTGAATGAATGAAATATTCTTATTAAATACTTTGTTCATTACATAGTTGAATGTGCTGACAACAACTTTTGCTCACACAAAAGTTATCAATGGAAATCAAATTTAGCAACCCATGGAGGTCTGGATTTGGAGTTACACTCAAAATTAAAGTGGAAAAAAACACTACAGGCTGACCCAACTTTGATGTAATGTCCTTAAAACAAGTCAAAATGAGGCTCAGTAGTGTGTGTGGCCTCCACGTGCCTGTATGACCTCCCTACAACGCCTGGGCATGCTCCTGATGAGGTGGCGGATGGTCTCCTGAGGGATCTCCTCCCACACCTGGACTAAAGCATCCCCCAACTCCTGGACGGTCTGTGGTGCAACGTGGCGTTGGTGGATGGAGCGAGACATGACATCCCAGATGTGCTCAATTGGATTCAGGTCTGGGGAACAGGCGGGCCAGTCCATAGCGTCAATGCCTTCGTCTTGCAGGAACTGCTGACACACTCCAGCCACATGAGGTCTAGCATTGTCTTGTATTAGGAGGAACCCAGGGCCAACTGCACCAGCATATGGTCTCACAAGGGGTCTGAGGATCTCATCTCGGTACCTAATGGCAGTCAGGCTACCTCTGGCAAGCACATGGAGGGCTGTGCGGCCCCCTAAAGAAATGCCACCTCACACCATTACTGACCCACTGCCAAACCGGTCATGCTGGAGGATGTTGCAGGCAGCAGAACGTTCTCCATGGCGTCTCCAGACCCTGTCACGTCTGTCCCATGTGCTCAGTGTGAACCTGCTTTCATCTGTGAAGAGCACAGGGCGCCAGTGGCAAATTTGCCAATCTTGGTGTTCTCTGGCAAATGCCAAACGTCCTGCACGGTGTTGGGCTGTAAGCACAACCCCCACCTGTGGACGCCCTCATACCACCCTCATGGAGTCTGTTTCTAACCGTTTGAGCAGCCACATGCACATTTGTGGCCCACTGGAGGTCATTTTGCAGGGCTCTGGCAGTGCTGCTCCTGTCCCTCCTTGCACAAAGGCGGAGGTAGCGGTCCTGATGCTGGGTTGTTGCCCTCCGAGAGCCTCCTCCACGTCTCCTGATGTACTGGCCTGTCTCCTGGTAGCGCCTCCATGCTCTGGACACTACGCTGACAGACACAGCAAACCTTCTTGCCACAGCTCGCATTGATGTGCCATCCTGGATGAGCTGCACTACTTGAGCCACTTGTGTGGGTTGTAGACTCCGTCTCATGCTACTACTAGAGTGAAAGCACCGCCAGCATTCAAAAGTGACCAAACCATCAGCCAGAAAGCATAGGAACTGAGAAGTGGTCTGTGGTCACCACCTGCAGAACCACTCCTTTATTGGGGATGTCTTGCTAACTGCCTATGCTTTCCACCTGTTGTCTATTCCATTTGCACAACAGCATGTGAAATTGATTGTCAATCAGTGTTGCTACCTAAGCGGGCAGTTTGATTTCACAGAAGTGTGATTGACTTGGAGTTACATTGCGTTGTTTAAGTGTTCTCTTTATTTTTTTGAGCAGTGTGTTTCAATTGGAAGTCATTTGCCTTACATGCTCTCACCTAGTTTCTTTACCAGTTTGGAAACTGGTTGGATGAGACCTTTCCTCCTTCACCTCTTTAGTAATCCTGTCACAATGGTTACATGTAATATTTCTCAGATAATTATTAACATTATCCTTATTGATTGTGAACATTATTCCTAATTCTTGCTGATTGAGAGTTAAATAATTTGAAACACAGCAATTTCCTGGTTAAAAAGTGCAATATTTGCTCTTGGGTGAAATGTTAGTCTTCCTCTTGCTTTGAACTTTTGAGTTTTCAGTGTTTCATTTCCATTCTTGTTTCTATATTTTATATTTGTGAAACAACTCAGCTTCCATATTGTATTTCATTTTGGTAATACAGCTGGAATATTTATTTACTTATTATTCTGGAAGTCATATCAATGTTCATAGTATTCTCTGTAAGTTTTTATATAAAAACCATACAAGATTGGTAGGTTGGGCTAAGAAAGAGTTACAGGGCCAAAGTCATCTGGTAAATTTCCATGGTTAAGAGTGGTGCGAGGCCAATGCCTTAACCATGACAGCACAGTGGGTTGCTTTGCATGTTAGTATATTGAAGAATGCAATATTGTGAGATAAATTTTATATGAATGATTTGGTCTAGGATTAACATCACAAAACAACACCTCCTGATATTTTCATCTTTTAAAATCTTGTGTTTTTAGGAGAGCTTGACCATCATATAAGAATTTCCAGTCTGAAGAAGTTGACATACCTGGCCCAAGAGCCAATAAATGGAAACTAAACACTTTTGTTATAACTGAGATGCCATGAGAGTTGGTTTTTCAGTTTGAAAATTAGGAAGATAGATGAGGTTGCGCTGCTTTGAAGAAATGTCATTAGAAGGCTGCCTTGATTTAAAGATGTCATTAAGGAAAGGGCTAACACATAGCTCCAGTTAACTTACCAACACTTATATTTTCTAAGCTGATGCTCTTCTCACCTCTATTACTTTTATCCTAA